AGTGTGAGGGTTCCTTGTATAAGTATAATAGTAAGTCGAAACACATACGTCGTCGACATAATATCATTATACAATTGATCTCAACTAGAGTTATCTATATTGATTTTGTAAGATCAAAAGATAACATTGTGGATCCGCTAAACAATGAGTTGAATCGAGGTCAAGTTGATAAGCATCGAAAGGAATGTGACTAAAGCTCATTAATATTTAAGGTGCTATGTGAAGGAAAACCCAACTTAGTTGACAAAAGATCCCAATATCTAAGTTCAATGGGACAACCTACTTGCATGGACTTTGTGAGGTCACTGTGGGGGTTCTTATCCCCAAGTCGATTCTTATGATGAAAACAGTGACTAAAATGTGGAAAAGGTTAAGCAATGCTTTTAAATGACCACTATGCGTTTTGGTGAGCCGAACAACATAAGTCACCAATGTGAGAGTGAAGTGGAGCCGCTTCAAAGAGACTATTGGGGCATAGTTCTCTAAACTCTTGCAGAACCAGGAGATGTCCACGGCTATATGGACATAACCATGAGAACCAAATTCTTGTCAGTGAGATATTTGTGTGAGGTATGTCATCGCTTACACCAACGACATGACAGTTCAAGGACATCACGTCTACTAGACAGCTAGTAAGGTAAACATATTTTCACAAGGGAAGGTTTAAAGGGGGACGCCTACCTATCCTAATAAATATCGAACTTAGAATATATCACTATATCGAGTCAGTGTTTGAACCACCAAGTTCATTCATGTGGGGGATTGTTGGAAAATTTATTGAATGAATTGATTCTATTTATAGCTAAATAATAATAAGTCATGTTACTTGATGAATGGACTTAATTTTTGGTTTAAAGTTGCATCCATTGGGGGATTGTTGGAAATTTATTGAATGAATTGATTCTATTTATAGCTAAATAATAATAAGTCATGTCACTTGATGAATGGACTTAATTTTTGGTTTAAAGTTGCATCCATTCAATCATACTTATTCAACAATTCTCTTCATGAAAAGATTAAATCCTTTCATGAAAAGGTTAAGCACTTTTCATCAAAAGGATAAGTCCTTTAATTGAAAGATTAAGTCCTTTCATCGAAAGGTCTTAACCCTTCAATCCAATTCTAAGAAATAACACAACACACATAACACAACACAAGTTACTCAAGTTTAAACCTTTGGAATAGGAAAAACACTTAGAAAATTCCTTCCAAATTTGTTCTTTCCAGTGATAGAGAAAGGTAAAGATTGAAACAATTATGTTCCTCTATTTTAATTTATTTTGCTTCGTTCGATTATATATTTATTATTATTATTATTATTATTATTATTGTTATTATTTAATCTCGGATTAACAATTTTTCTAACAATAGGTTTGGTTCTTGGCTTTTTTACGGATTCTTTTAGTCTCTATGACTGTTGAAATGATGTTCTATTTAACAAGAAAACATTCCGTGAAGAGCTAAGTGTTTGATTCAGCTGTTTTGAGGATCGGTACGTGGTGTAATTGGCTTTGGCCCGATTGTTACCCTTCGGTTCTTGATTTCGCTAGAGCTCCTAGTTCCTACTGCTTTTATCTCAATCAGACGGTAAGCTGGGTTTGTTGAGGTTGCTCTAGGTTCTCTTTGTGTTGAGATATGTGTTGTCTCTGGTTAAGCTGATACGCTCGTCGCTGGTTCTGTTGTTGTTTTAGTAGTGGTTCGAGGTTTTTTTTTTTTTTTTGAAATAGCTTTATCTGGATGTTGGCATGGATTTATGCTGGGTTATTTATATCCTCACCTTATGTTGTTTTATATGATTGCCGAAGCCTAAGTGGTCCTAGTTTAGTTCCTGGTCAATGGACCTTCTGTCAGGATGTTGAGTTGTTACTCCGGTTTGATTGTGTTTGATCAAGCCCATGAGGTGGACCGGTCATGGAGCCTTAGGGGACAGTCGAGGTGGTCGTCTTCCTATCTTGTTGGTCTGTTTTTCGGTGCCTTTCGATCCTATCGTTTTGGCAGAGAACGATTTTCCATGGTGGCACCATCCAGATGCTCTTAACTTTCAAATTCCCATGATATTCTGGATGCAAATACGAGGCAATGGATGGTGCTTCTGAGTAGCTGGGACTTGGTGACTATGGCTAGTGGTGATCGAGTCTGTTCGTGTTAGTTGGGTATGCTTTTTTATTTTTTGTTTTGCTAAAATCCATTTAGTGCAGCTGTTGGAGCTTTTCTTTTGGCTTTCAAATGATCTTGGGAGTGCATTAGTTTGGCTTGGACTATGGTGTTGTTATCGTTGTCTTGTTGCTAAGGTTTGTGGTGGTGTTTGATTTTAATTTAGGGAAGATGATTTTAATGGTGCTTTGATTCCATAGGTTGTTGCAATGTGTGTTTGAGGATAGCTTTTGTTTGGCTTTTTTTTTATTCGGAACAGGATTTATATTATTTTTTCCTCAAATTTAAGTTTAGGGAAGTTTTTTAAAGAGGCTTGTATGGTTTGTTTTGTCTTATATGTTTCGATTCTCTTAAATACATACAAAACACTTACACGGGCAAATTTGACCAGGACCCTATTACCCGAACTGATTTATTCGAATCGAGATTCGAAATAGACCCGAACATGATGAATCAAATTTGACCCGAAACTCAAAAAAGACGAATTGAACTGAAACTGACCGAAATTTTAGCCAAACCAAAAATAACCATAACCGAAAATAACCGAACCGAAAGCAACCGACCCAAAAATAACCTGAACAGAAAGTAACCTGAATTTAATCTATCGAAACTCGATCTGAACCAAACATTGACCCGAACTTATTAAATTGGTTTTCAATTTATTTAAATCAAATTATGAATATTAATGAGTTAATTACATCATATGTCCCCAGTCCATCACCCTCATTTCAAATTAGTCCCTAAGCTTTTAAACATTTTAATTTTATCCTTAAACTATGACTATTATTCTAAATTAGTCCTCAAACTTTTGAACATTTCATTTTCATCCCCAAGTTATGATCTTCTTCCTAATTGGTCCCAAACTTTTTTAATGTTTCAATTTTATCCTAAATTATTCATATTTACTAATCACATATCTTGTTAATAAAATCATTAGGCAAGTTAAACTATTATATGTTTGAAAAAAAATTAGGTTAAACTATGATTGAAATGAATTATTATATTTTACTTTGTAACTACTAAAATAACTTTCCAAAACTCACTACAAGGAATTTCATCTTTTGTAGATGAAAAATATTGTTATTTAAATTTAATATAAAAATAATTTATTTAAAACTACACAAATAACTTATTTTTATAATATAAGGATATCTATTCTTTTATAATTTAAACTAAAATACTAACGATGATATAATAATATAATATCATTTATAAATATATTATTCAAACATAATATTTATAATTAAACTTTAAGTATCTAATTTAAAATTTTAATAGATAACAAAATTTATAATTAAAAAAAATTTATTTTTTAATCAAATAGATTGTACTATAAACTTTTCAATCCAGAATAATAAAATAATATCACAAACTCTAACATATCTTATAGGCCGAGTTTGAATTAAATTATAATATGTAAATGATAATTGAATTTGAAGGAAATTGAACACAAATGATAAGATTTTTTTTAAAAAAAAGACACATTTTTTACAAAAATATATCAATAATTCTATATATACTTGATTTGAGTTATATCCAACTTAACTTGAATTGACCTAAAGATCTAAAGTTGACTCAAACTAAAAATAATTGATCGATATTGATCTGACATGAAAATCATCCGACCCGATTTGATCCGACCTGAAATCAATCGATCTGATATCGACTCTACCTGATACCCAAATCGATCTGGCTTACTATAGACCTGAACAAAACCAAAAACCTGAAATTACCCGAACCGAATCTGATTCGAATGACCTGTTTGCTACCTCCAAAATCACCTTTTTCAAAAAAATTGTAAAAATATCAATTAGAATAATCAAATTACTTATTCAATTTTATTCAGAATTTAAATAACTATATTAAAATTGACTTAAAAGTTTAATAAATAATATTATTTTTGAGTTCATTCAAATGTTCTTACCACTAATTACATGTAAGTGATACATGTTTAATTTGTATTTACTTTCTATATATATTTACTCACCATATATAAATTTGATTTTCACGTAGCTTTTGTAATAGAAAGTAAAAAATCGAAAGTCGACCAAGCTTGTAATATACTGACTATTGTTACTCTAATACAATAATAATTCTATTGAAAATATATTGAAGGACTAGTAGTAAACTTAGATTGACGAAAGACGATTGAAGATTTTTTCCATGAAAGCGTTTAAAACTTTTAATATTTTTTAAATTTATTTATATTTTATTATTTTATAAGTTCTAATTTTTTAATTTTCATTTTTAATATTATAAAGTTTTTTTTTTTTTCAATACTATTTTAATAAAATTTTAAAATTGTCTTAATATATTATTTTCTGTTAAGGATTAAATAGTGTTATAACTTCCAATTAAAGTCAATTATGCCATTGAACTCTAAAAAAATCAATTATACTCTCGAAGTTGGTTAAAAAATTAATTTAATTCTTTTATCATACCATACTATCACACCAATACATTAGATCGTCTGTTAACATTCTAATAGTCAATATTGATAAAAAAGACAATTGACATAATTAAATAACTTCAAGAACAAAATTGACGCAACAAAAAAATACGGACAAAATGACTAGTGTGGGAATAACACAAAATCACCTAAAAAAATTAACATGATTCAATCTTAAATTATTGATTTATTTAGTATTAGAATTAAATTAACGCAATATATAAATGTTGATAACAAAACATGTTATTATCCCAATAAAAAAAATCACATCATTACTATTTAACAGGTGGTTACCTGATTGATCATTTTTTTCGACATCTCATTAGTAACTAAAATAGAAACATGGTCATAGTTCAGTGACTAAAAAGTAGTTTACCCAATAATTAAAAGATGAAAAAATTTCATTGTGTTCTTCTCATCCCACAGTCTGGAGGTCAACAAGGCTATTCACATAACCCACAATTCCTGCCTTTATATCAATATCAACTTGACCCAAATTTTCAGAGGCCTTTTTCTTCATGTCATAACAGTAAAACATGTTCCCATCTCTAAACAACACCACATCTCCGCCGATAAACTCTACTCCACCATGGCCATAAAAATACCAAGACGAAGAAAATGCAGCTGGTGAAACATCAAGATGAATTCTCGGTAGTTCTTTCCACAGCTCGGCAGCGCTGTGCATTTGCATGGTATTTGAGTGAACATCAGATAACATTCTCACGACTAAGTTTTGACTTCGACCGTGTACATGAGCCATACAAAGCTTCCCGTTCTTTGTTCCTAAGGACCCAACTGTCTTATAGAGGAGCTGACACCGTTCTGAACTGAGATCAAATGCTATAATTTCAAGACTCGTCTGCCAATAGGCAGTACCATTCACATGAATACCTGACTTTGGCAGGAGCTTCCTATTAGAAAAGTAAATCTCACCAGAAATTCTCCATGATCTTGTTCCAGACGAATATATCTCAAACTCGAATCCATCCAGTTCGGAAGGAAAGGCACAAATCAGCTTGTAATCAGCAGTGAAGTTCAGTAATGATGGTTCAAATGCAAGCACTACAGCAGGGTCAGGCCCGTGATCAGCCTCCGGTTTCGGAAGTTTCTCCCAGTGCTTGGTAACCGGATTGCAGATATAGTAAGCCTTGTAATCAGTACACCCCTGACAACAAAGCAGCCCATTAGAAGAGCACCTAATTTCGACAGGTTCGGGTAGAAACTCTAAACTTGGATCTGGAACACCATAAGCCATGGGGTCAAGAGACATGAACGATGGCACGCCTGCTTGTGTTTGGTAAAAGAAGCCCGAGATAGAACGGAACGAATTTGACTGATTGTGGGCAAAGAAAGGAGTTGATATTAGAAGCTTCCAATCCCGGCAGACTCCAGAGCACCGAAAAAGCGATTTAGCAGGAAGGTAAGGAAGTGCATTTTCCCTTATTATGTCTTTCAGATCCATGTAGATATTGTTGTTTTTATTCCCATATAAGTTTGTCAGCTTCTTTCCTCGATCCATTTTCTCACAATGCAGCCTAATTCTCAACACATGGAACCATAAATTATTAAATATATCATTATCAAAGGAAGGGAATAAAACAAATAATTACCCCACCGACATAAATGGAGAAAACCTGAAACGAAGTTGTTAAGATCGAAACTATAAGTTCATAAATGCTTCAAAGATTATTCGCAGTTCAAGGGTAACTCGAGGTGGCTCGCCAACAATATTTATCTTGAGAAATCAAGTCAAGAGGGCTCAGGATCATTAAAGTTTTCTTTTGAGACAAATTGTTCCTGCTAATATACCCTTTTCTTTCTTACATATCAAAATTAGGGAAGAAATCCTAAAATTTCAAAAATCTAAAATTAAAAAAAAACGAACTTAATATAACAATTCGCAGAGCTCCAAAACACCAGAGTATTCCATAATTAGATGTATAAAAATTGAATTATTCAAATTTATAGATTAAAAAGACAAAGGGTTTGATTGAGAAGGGTTTTCTTTTATTTACCCTATCTTTTTCCAGCAACTAACACATTGTAACCATATAAAAAGCTAATAAAAATCTAAATCTAAGAATCAAACTAAGCACAGGGATGCTAAGATGAAACTAAAACTAGCAAACAAACGAACTTAAAGAGATAAAAGCAACAATATTATAAAGCTTTGACATTTAAAAGCAGAAAGACTGGTTATCAAACTGAACGAGATAAGACGGCGATTAAAGGACAAAAAAAAAGCGCAATTATAAATGTAGAGACTGAGAAGCGATACCTCTTTCTTTCTATTTTTCCCTTTTGAAGTCGTTGATTGAAGAACGACTTTTCGATGAAGACTTGGAGAGAAGGTTTTTTTTTTTTTTTTTTTTTTACGTTTGGCCCCTTTTTTTCGAATAATTTATACAACTAACGACCTAGCTTGACTTAAAGTCTTCAGGTCTACGGAATCGTTTGGACATAAGAGTTAGGCACGGGCACAGGCACAGGCACGAGAAGGGGCACGGGACCAAATTCAATGGGTTTCAATCTTATTGGATTTTATTAAGTCTGATTTTTCTAAAATCATATTGATGTTTGGTTTGGATAAGTTTTTCTAATGATGTGTTCATGTTGAATTATGTTTGAGTTTATGATAAAAAATATTCGACATGATCAGAAAAATAGTATAATTTTACATTATATATTTAAGGATAATTATAATAATATCTCTCTGTGTATTATTTTTTTCAATTTGATCTCTATTTTCATTGAATAAAAGTAATTTTATAAATATATTTATATCGAGTCGTGTTCTGATTTTATCTCAATAAGATGGGTCGAGTTCAAGTAAGGTGAAGTCACCCTAAACTCAGGTTGAATTTAGGTGGAGAGTGTATATTTTTTGGATTTGATTGGATTGACGGAAAATTAGACCCAACTCGATTTATGCCTATTCCTGATAACAGCTGTGTTGTATTTTGATTCAAATTATAATTGGTAATTAAGTTGGATTTATTATAATTCTAGTGGTTAAAGGTTACTTGACAATTAAGTTTATTTAATAAAAGTAAATATTTATTTTAGGCAAGAATTCTTATTGAATAAGAATTCTTGGTGATTACGTATTTGACTATATAAATAGAGATTATGTCTTAGTCTTTAGGGATACATAAGAGAATTATTATGGGGGTGTTATCATTTTGGAACCTCGGTAACTTATGGGGGTTTATGTTATAAAGATAGTTTTGTAGGGATGTTGAAAGAGTGTTTTGAGATATATCGGTTTCGATATGTATATCGAGTTTTAGTATACATGTGATATCATGTATTTGTACTTTTTGTGTTCTCTATGTTAAAACGGAATCATAATAAATATGAAAATGACCAGGATATAATCATGTCAAATCATCAAGAATAAAAATACTATATGAGGAAGCGTACCTGAATTAATTGATAGGTTGAAATCCTTGAATCTTTCTTTGGTTGTGATCTTCCATGAAGATAGAGTTCCCTTAAGTATAAACTCTCTGACGAAGATAAGTGTAAAAACGAGAATTTTTATTTCTTGGGACCATAACCCCTTTATATAGTTGATTTAAGAATCAATTATTGTATGTACTTATAACTTTGTCCCTCATCGGATTATAAATATAACTTTAATAGTATCTACATTTTTATTTTCATGACTTTATAAACATGTGCTCATAATTTATAATACGTTATGACTTCTAATACGTTATGACTTTATAACATAATTGATCACTTAATTTATGTCATATTTTATGATAACAATATACATTATAAACATGTGCTCATAATTATGGATTTTAACCCAACAATCTCTCACTTGGTCAACATATATTTTCTGATAAATGTATAACCTTATGAGCTCGAAACTTGTTATTATACAATAGGTATTCTATAACAAACTTGTCCATCAACTATATCCATATAGGATCAAAGCGGTCTTTGTCATTTCAATCATGACTAGACCCATCAATGGTCATGTATACAACACAGTCAAATGACATAAATCAATCATGGAGCGTAGCATGGAAATTACATGCAATGTGAACCACACATGTCTATTTCCAACTGAACCGCACATTAGTGAGATCAAATTTTACCAAAATCAGAGTGTGCATAAATCAAAACAAACTTTATTTCTCCATAAAATAACTTTAACATAAATATCCTTAAACTGAAGAAATTGAAATTATGTCTATAACAAATGAGTATTAAAATTACAAAATCCCACTAAAACTGAATATCCCTAAGTGATATTACACCCACATGAGTAATGTGCTCATGAAAGACATTGGGTGACAGTTCTTTAGTAAGCGCGCAGTTATGAGTTTATATCAATATGCTCTATAAACACATAATTACTCTGAAATTTCTTTAACAACCAGAATCATAATGTGTATGTTCCTTAGACTTAAGATGTTTCTGTTATATTTGGAGAAAAGGACTGCAACTTAATTGTTACAAAATAACTCAAGTGGTTTTTCTTCTCAATCCATAATTAGCAATTCATGTGACAAAATTTTGCATCCATATTCCAATAAGTCGGAGCTCATGAGCCTAATGATCTCTTACTTATTAGACCTCCAATATGTGAGCATGTAATGTTTTTTATTCTTAAATGTATTGTATGAATCAATTTGGTTGTCCAACAACTCATACCTATGTTGCTTAAATATCTACTTAATATTCTAAAATCATACGCTATGTCTCAGTGCGTATAAACCTAAGTATACATTATTCTTTATTTATTTTGAAGAATAAGGAGTCTTTTTCTATTTCCTTAGTTTCAAAATCATTCTTAGAGTTGATTAATACTAAACTTGTTTTCATTTAGCAATAAGGGTCATCTTTTGGTTTACTCCCACTGAACTTATAGTAAATACAATAGCCAATCAAATTCATCTTAAAACCAAACGGAATAATCACTTGATGAAATTTGTTATACAATTAACAATAGTCATACTTAAAATCATAAATGGATTTTCCTAATTTGCTTATCATTAATTTTATATCATTAGATATAATTTTCTAACTGCACTGTATAAATATTTCATCAATGTTACTATTGAGAAACACAATTTTGAAATCCAATTTATATAACTCAAAATCAAATATGAGAAACAAGTATCATAATTATTCTAAAAGAGTATTTCAATGAAACCAAAGAGAAAGTCACTACAAAGTTATGTCTCCTTTCTGAGTATATCTTTTCAAATTTATCAAATTTGTCAAGAAAACCATTGGCCTAAGTAATCTTTTCAAATTATGTGTCCCTAAGGTTTTTTAAAATGTTGAGCTTCTTGACCACTAGACTCATGCAATTTGAACAAATTTTACCTCTCAAAATCCAATTAAGGATGTTATCCCCCATGAGAGGAGGAAATTGTTCTTTCCTTAGTGCATAGTCTATGTTCATACAACCAAAACCTTATGTAAGTGTTTTTTTCCATTACTTGAAATTTGTCTAATTAAGCATGAGAATAAAATTGATAATAACAGATATTTTGATAGCAATAAAAAATATTGGTTGAATACATAACAAAACATAAATAAAATTTAAGCTCACATCTTAAGTAAACAAATAAATTCAAAATTATGGTTAATTCCTATCTCAAGATACCAAACACTACATCAATATCAAGTCTTTGGACAGTAATATTAACAGTAAATGGTACTCTTGTTGTAGTAATCTAACATTGACAATAAGCTATGTTGAACAAAAGACTAATTTGTGGACTAATGTAATGCTCACATAAAAAATACCTTATAATTGTCACATGTTATTACCACATGTGTTGCTTGAAATCCGGCCAAATATTAACTTTCCTTTGGGTCCATTAATAAACACATGAATCACAAGAAACACATATTCATCTTGATATCTAAATAAATCAGTCTACACAAAAGAGGTCACTTTGGCGGCATTATGTTTCAAGTAATCTATAAAAATATCAGACATAATCATAATATGAACTAATTTATTTCAAAATATATAGTCTATTAACCAACGATCAAAACTGAAAATTTGAGTTGCATATATACATATATTGCATTAACAATATAATTAAAACTATAAAAAATATTGTCAACCAATTAATTTCTCTTAATTTATCTTTTGATTAAATTAAAAGATAATCAAAATAATAATAAATTTGAATACACTTAAACATTATCTCAAGATATCAAATATTCCATTAATATTTCATCTTTAGACAAAATATTCACCTTAAGTGATATCTGATGCAGTAACCAAACACTGATAATAAGAACATGTCAAGCAAAAATATTCCTTTGGGTAGATTTATTACTCACACATCAAACTGCATAATTACCACATGCTTATTATCAAAGTTGTACATGCGATTATGTCAACTATTAATATTCCTTTGTGCCGATAAATACTAACATATCCTAAGTTACACGTACAAAATAATTTTCCAAAATTGATGTCACTTTAACGACTTAATGCTTTAATTAAGTAGTCTCAAAAGAAATATTAGTATTCAAATTTAATATTTACATAACAATCAAAGGTCAAAACTGAAATTTCTTATTGCACTACAGTATCCGAAATAACCTAAAATAAGGTTACATAAATGGTGCTATAAGAAATCGAAAACTCACGTCTTTGATTTGTTTATGAAGAATTACTTAAACATGTAATCAATTCATAACTTCATAAATTATCAAAGATAGTTTGGATTCAAAATAATCAACATTTAATCAAAAGTCAAGGTCAAAGTAAATACTAGAGAATTAAATATTTTATCAAACTGAATTGAATATATCAATACTAAATATATATATTATATAATTTATAACATTCAAAAACCAAAACTGAATTTTCTAATCACATTATGATTCCGAAGTAACTCATAATAATATTGTCTAAAATACGTTATTAGAAACTGAAAACCTAAATCCTTACTATTTCTCAAAATTTCTTATTTATGCATTCATCAAATTGAACGAAAGTACAAGAACACAAAAGTGTACCATAAAAGTGTGATACTTGATATCAAAATAAAACACAAAAGATTGATTCGAACACATTAATAGAACAATTCCATTAATACCAAAGATTGATAATAACATAAAATTATAGAAAAATTCCACGTTCTAAAGTGGCCAGAATATTTAGACGAAGATAGTCCTCGAGAGAAGGGAAAAAAACCTTACATAAACCTTAGAAATCTTTGTTGTCAAAAAACCTTAAAATCATAATAATTAAGACGTCTTGAACCTGATAAATTCCATGTATTTATTAAAACACTTGGAATTTCTTGCACAAGTCTTTATAATCCGTAATTACAAAGATAAAAAGAACACAAAACAGAAATCAACTATCACAAACGCATGTAGTTGAGC